AACTTTTACGCTGGGATATTACTCTATCGACTTCACATATCGACAGAAGATTTTAAATATCATATTTTTTACAATTACAGGTTTTGGATTTTTTGTTGGCAAAAAATACGACTATGTGTTCAATGCAGTAGAAGAATGTGGAAAACACCTCAACTTTTTTCTTCTTTTGGCCATTTTCAGTTGTGAAATTTTGATTACAATTCACTATGAATTAGTTGTTGGTATTGTGCTCTGTTTGCTTCATGAATTAATTCTTAAGTACTCTGACTTAGAGGATTTCATAATGATTTTAAACAATAATACGCGTCAGAATATTTTTAGTCAAAATGTTGAGGGGTTGACATACATTCTTCCACTTACTGGTGTATTATTGATCGCTAGAGGACTTGCAAAAGAATCCAAAAAAGACACTAAGGTCAGCAGATGGATAATCGTTGGTTTAACTGTAGCTTTCCAAATTGCACTATTTGTGGCAAATCAACTTTATTCTTCAGATCCTTGCCGTAGGGTACTTAACATATCCTATATCCTTCTGATACTGGCTATGACAACGGCAAACGGTATTATGTTTTCTCTATGGAAAACTTTAGGGTTTGATTGTGAAATATCGGGAGACAAATTCTTTGCCAAAAATCCGCTGATATTATTTTTGGTCTGCAATATCTTTATCGGAATAGTAAAATATCTAAACTTGATACAGATTAAGAATATTTACTTGATTCATCTCATCAATATTAGCTACTTGTTCATATCCATCTACGGTACTAAGTTTATGATTGGATTATTTTTGAAAGACAACGAGAATGATTAATAAATGATATTTGGCTTAATTAAATCAATTTTATATTCAAAGCGATTTGTTCTATATCCAGTTGATGAATTGTATAATCATATACATATCAATGACTGAACCTGGGTATGTTTTAATTAAGAAAAATGCTATGCGTTGGTACTATAAAACCATATTTTGCATAATCTCTTTATTCTATACTATCATTTTAATTTATCAACTTCTCTATTTCGACATTAGTCTTAGTATATTACCTACATATAAGTCAATAAAGCTGGATAACCTCCAACTTAATAAGTAAATCACTTTTGTAGACTTTATAGGTTTAGACAGCCTGAACTTCCAATTTAATGGGTAATGAATATTACAAATTCATCAAGATCAACAAGTAAGCTCCAGTTTTGAAATTGGTAAAGCTAATTGCTGATTTATATAATCTTTTATTAATTTAACTCTATTCCACCCTTCTAAATGAGTCGGATAGAAAGTCTTCTTGGTCTGAAAAAGACAAAGAGAATTACAGAAAACAAATTAAAACGAAAAAGTGTGTCTGCTAAATCGAGACAAATCGGAAATGGGCTAGTTCAGCATGCAAGTCAACTATATGCCAAAGGAAACCTGGATCAATCCCTAAGTACTCTAGAAGAGGCAATAAAACTCATTCCTCATGATTTCAGGCCATATTATATTGCTGCTCTGGTCCAGGAAGAGAAAACCAATCTGGAAAAAGCACTCAATGGATTCTTTGTGGCTGGAATACTTTCCAATGGTCAGGCACTAAGCTCAAACAAATTTATCTGGGATAAAGTTTATAATTTAGCCACTAAACTTGAGGATGAGTCCAAAATGATTCTTGCTATCGATAAACTAAACAGAAGGGAGCCATCAGAAAAATTTCTAAAGAAAAAACTGTCTATATTAAAGAAACAAAAGAAGAAATACCAGGTGATTTGCTGTAAAATTGAGCTGTTTCAATTCTATGGTGTTGATGAGACAATTTTCAATCAGTTTGAGCATATAAATCATATCATTTCCCTTCATCATATCTCTAATAGACTCATCAAAACTGTCATCAAAAATTCAGCAACCCATACAGAATCGTTCTTAAAAAATACTTTAATTACTCTTTACAGAGCAAAATTATATCCACAACTGATCAGTGTCTACAACGATTACTATTTACCGGTTGCAAAAGATGTCAATAATCAAATAAAAATAATCTATTTGACATCAAATTTAAAAACAATGCTCCAAAGTGTGATAGAAAACAGCTTACAGTGTAATAGAGATTATAATCTGAATAATGACCATTTATCAATTGATGCTAGAGACGCAAATACATCTTTAATACAGCCCATCGATGATTCAAATAAAGTAAATAAAAACACTTTATCAAAACTAGATGATTTGAACAATACCATAAATAACAAACAGATCGCTGATATGTGTGCTGGTACCCTTATCAGTCAAGGTAACAAATTAAAGGATTCAATAAATTATAAATCTAGCTCTGATGATTCAAGTTCTGAATATACAGACATTAATTCACTCAAGGATATCAATGAAGATTTTCAGAAGAGCTCCATGGATTTGGATTCTTCATTTTATACAAAAATTTTTAGATCTACTGAGTCACAATATAGTAGGCTGATGAATGACACTGAGTTTTGGAATGATGATATTTCAAACGTGTACATTATTGACTTAATCAATTGTTACAGGCAAATGAAAAATTTCGAAAAATCCATAGACATTTGTAAAATATCTCTAAGTTTTAAACCAGATTTAGAAAAGAGAATGCTCCTGGGTGATTTGACTTTTGAGAATGGCAATTGTATCGAAGCGTTGAAAATCTTCACCGATATACTCTATGACAATCCAACAAGTTTAGAGCCAAAATCAAAGCTTCATCAAATCTATACTTCATTGGGAAACGAAGTTATTGCTAATCAGTTTAAAATAACCTCAGATGTATTTTTGTTTTCAAGTGGATTGGAAAGGAAGGATAAATACAGGTGGTCGAATGATAAATGTAATGCCATGCACAAGTTGTTTGAAGAAGCAAATGAGAAGCTGAAGTCTTCAGAAATACCTTATCACACCGCTACAGAGGCTTTAATTGATGATTTTTTCTGCAATGAGTTTATTACCATTAGAAATGATCGATTTAGATCGTTCCTGAATCGCCATGAAAATCCTAAAAATGTTTCTGTTGTTACAGAAGTCATGAATAATTCCTCAGGAATGGAAATAAGACAACAGGGAAATGAAACAGGCATTTGCATTTACAATAATCACATCGATAGGGAGGATGCCAAAAGGATAATTCGGGTGAGTAGCCTACACGGGCTAGATGTAGAGGAATGGTTTTTTGTAATTAGTCAAACTGTTATTAGTTTAATGTGCTCGGAAGAAAATGAACGAGCATCTGAATTGATTTTAAAATCAATTAAATTGTATATTTTTAGGATTGAAAAATACATGATTCATCTTTTTTTACTTGGGGTAAAACTATCTCTAATCATACACGATGAAAATTTGTTGATAGATTTAATCCGTTTCATCATTCAGCCGGTTGGGTATTCCGTGATTAACTTTATGAACTTCTTATTAAACTTTTTTATTGATTTTGAAAAAAATAAAAAATTTGCTTTACTGATGAAAAATGTTCAGAGAATTCATCAAAGAAGATCAAATGAGAAGCTTCTAGAGCACAACGCATCACGGAAATCGTTTGAACAAAGCCGAGGAGATTCTAATGTCAATATACTGAATTATCCAGAAACCAAAACTTGCAAAGGACTCACAGATGTAGAAAGTTTGTCAAATAAACATGATAATAATCTAGATTGGCAAGATGAAGGCATAAGTATGGAACATGAGTGTTTAGAAGATTCATCAGCTAATCAAAACATGCTTTTACACTCTTCAGATTGTCTTAAGGAATCAAACTTTGCAAATTCTTATATTCCAAGATCCATATTTACATCAACTGTAGATGATTTGATCCGATATTTTCAGGGCAAAGATTTTATTACCTGTACCATAATGGGAAGCATTATGATTTGTCATACACGTTGTAGAGTTCTTCAGGATAAGGAAAAGTATGCAAGGCTTGGATTTAAATATTTGAAATCGATTGATGCAGAGGATATGTCGCAGTATATTTCAACTGTTCATGAAAGTCACTTGACAACTGAGGAGTTATCGGTAAAATATCTTGAGGAAATTAAGAATTATAACATTGGAAAAGCATACCATTTCCTGGGATATTTAGGACTTGCAGAGAAACATTATCTTTTAGCACTTGATTCTGGGGATGATGTTTTAAGAAGAATGGTGATTTTTAATCTATCACTGATTTTTAAGAGGAACAAAAGCCGTCAGTTCTTAGAGCATATTCTATCAAAATGGTAATTATTATAGTAAATATAACATCTGTGTTTTATATTTCAGAGTCAAGATCCTAGAAATATACATTATTGGTTAAGAATTTTTGATTGTCATGAAGGTCAATATATTGATATTTGTAAATCTCAGGTATTTGTTGGGCTGATCAATTCCTCTATCTTAATAATACAATGAAATATATAGGAATTTTATAATTTTTAGTGGAAAAACAGATAATAACTTAAATGATGATAATTTTTTCGATTAAAAGCTTTAAGCCGGTAAATTCCAGCAATTCTTTAATCGATTGCAATTAATTTGTGATGTCTAAAACAAAGTATCATATGGAATGAGTGTTAATTGCTTTTACAAAAACAATTTTTAAAATCAATATTTTGTTTATTTTTCTTAAAAATTTTATTATTTTGTAAAAAATTTTAAATGGAGGGGCATGATGAATCAAAAAGTTAGCGTCTACGACATCGATGGTCAGAAAGTCATTGATACATTGGAAATGCCAAAATTATTCGGAATTGAGCTGAGAGAAGATTTGGTAAGGCAAGCTTATGACTGTGTTCGTATGAATACTAGACAGCCATACGCAGTTAGCCCAGATGCTGGTATGCAGCATTCCGCAGTTTCTTGGGGACCTGGTAGAGCAATGGCAAGAGTTCCAAGGGTTCATGCATCCGGGACTCGTCGTGCTGGACAAGCAGCATTTGCGAATTTTGCAAGAAAGGGAAGAATGGCTCATCCTACTAAAACTCATAGAAGATGGCATAGAAAAACACCTCTTAAGTTGAGAAGAATTGTAGCATGTATGGGAGTAGCAGCAACTGCAATTCCCTCCATTGTTGAAGGCAGAGGACATCGTATCTCAAACATTCAAACTCTTCCAATTGTAGTGTCTGACAAGATCAATTCATTTAGTAAAACCCATCAAGCCGTTGCACTTTTGAATCAACTAGGCCTTTCAGAGGAATTGAAGAAAGTAAAGGATTCTAAGGTGATTACTGCAGGTAAGGGTAAATTTAGGGGCAGGAGATACACCAAAAGGACTGGTCTTTTGGTAATTCACGACAATGATTGTTCTTCTCTCGATGCTTTTAAGAATATCGAGGGTGTAGAGTTGCTTGACATCAACTGTTTAAATATTCTTAAGCTTTGTCCAGGTGGTAAGTTGGGAAGATTGGTTATGTGGACACAGTCGGCCTTTGTGAAGTTAGAAAGAATATTCTCTGATGAATTCAAAGCAGGTTTTGTACTGCCAAAACCTATGTGTACGTCTGAAGATCTAGAAGAATACTTCTATTCACCAGAAATCCAGGAACTTATCAACGTTCCTTGTTTGTTGAGCAAGGGAACACTTTCCAAAACTCAAGAAGAAATTACCAGAGCTGCTAAGATGGTCGAATTATATGAGAAACTTTAAGAATAAACTAGGTCCATATTTTACAACTTCAGAATAGTCTATTTTATTGATTCCTTGTTCAATGTTCGAATTTTTCTTTTGTTTGTTTTCCAACCTTGCCCTTTTTTATGAAAATATTTTTTCAAAATTACTTGGTGATTTCCTTACAAGTTTTCTATAGTCTTCTATTAAATATTTACTTTACACAATATTATTTTGGAGAACTTCATAGACGAATCCTACAGAGTTACAGAAACAAATATAAGAATGCTGCGGTACGCTCTGCTATGTATTTGTTGATTACCCTGTTGTTTATTAAATCGAAATCTAGCATGCTCAAGGACGATATCTCCCTTGTCAATAAGGCTATCGTATCATCGTCCAGGGGAATACTCTTCCTATCATTTTCATTTGCACTAATTCTATCAAGCTGGTGCTCAAAAATCACCTTTCCTAATATTTCCCAGTTCATTTGGTTAAATGGGGTTATTTCCCTCAAAAACTTCATTTTTCTACAATATCCTCACTTTTTCAACAATATTATTGATTTAATTATAAATATTTTGTCCATCTATATCTTCATAATCCTGATTTTGTACAAGACCGTGATAAAGCAATCAATTACAGAAGGCGTGGCAGAAGATCTACGATACAATGGAAGAAATTATTTACCACGTATATATGACATTGATCCGGATGCAGAAGTTAGCAGTATAAGAATTGAAACTTTGCATGAGGGTGAAAGCTTCAGCTTGGACTCAAGCCATGAAATGAACACAATAGTAGATGGTAATATTACAGATGAATATGAGACTTCCATTTCAACAAATCAGCTGAGTTTTGTCGACATATATGAATCTAGGATTAGAAACTTGGTCCATGAAAACAATACTCGTTTTCCACGCAGCCACAATGCATTGAATTCAGAAGGAACAGTCGAAATACTTCAAACATCGGCTCGCTCTGTTTTTTTAGATGAAAATTTTGGATATTTTTTCCCAATCACACAAAACTATAACCCATTTCTATATTTATTCGAGGTTCTTTTCGACAATATTTTATTAATTTATGCAGGCAAGCCAAAGTATCATACAGTGAAAAGTAGGTCTTTTCTGTCACCAATACTGCTATCTATTTTGGTAATTGTATATTTTAAGATCAGGAATATTCTTCAAATCAATTGCTTGATATTTTTTGGAATTAGTCTGGGGTATTGTACACATTTTTGCACCAAAAGTTCCAGATTCTTTAATTTGTTGAATCTTTACAATGTTGTAGTGTCTGGGTTCTTTTATTTCACTATGTTCCATTACATTAACAAAATATCTTTAAACACTATTTCTCACAACAAGTCATCAGCTATTCTTATGGAGTTATTTAAGGCCATCCATCTGTCAATTCCTATTGGGTTTCTTTCCTGGGGTAATCCAAGATTGCTTTTTACCAGTAATATTATCACCCTAAATATTATTAATATTATCATGGGATTTGCCGATGATCGAGAAGATGGTGTTCTACCACAGAAAAATCTCTTCTTCCGCATTGAGTCACTCGGAGCCGCCATGATGCTATTTCTAGGGTGTTACCCATATATTCTGTGTAAAATTACTGGAAATTGTATAAGAAAAGACCTGGCATTATCGCTGGGACTAGCATGTGTATTTTATTTTTATCTGTTTAGAATTCTGAGCATCATTGGTAAAGAGAATAAATGAATGAAGCAATTACTTTAAGGTGTGTTTGATTTAACAATCTAAAAAATTTTTCTATAGATATTACCAAATTTTTGCTACTAAAATTCATCAATTTAGAAACCATTCTTTACACTTGTAGTTTATTTAAAACGAATCTGTATCCATACTTTCAACAGCAATAGTTTCGAATGTTGATCTTCGACAAAACAGCACATAGAATAATGATAGAAGGAATGAAAGAAACAGAAACATGGCAATTGGAAAGAATACAAGAGCCATTAACGGCCCTCCACCCAAGAGAAGGCAAAGTATAAGCATTCCGGTTGCTAGCGTAATATGAGCAGAAAATATTCTACGCCAATCTGAAATATCATCGTCTTCCGTCGTCTCGGACATATCATCAAGAAGAGCAAGAAAGTCATTCTGAGTACGATCAATCTCGTATAGAAACTCATCTTCTGGATCAAGGGCATTTTGACGAAAATAATCCCTCACTTCCGATTTCATCAAAAAGTCATCGTCGGATGCAAAATATTTCGCCCCATAACATACTTTCCTTTCGCTGTTCATTTCCGTTGGGATCGATATTTTGCTTCGATTTATACCCTCTATTATCTCTCCGGGTGTCTTTCCACTCACATGTGTAATCGAGCTTTCAATGTTGATATCAAAACAATCTTTCGATTTGGATTTCTTTTCATAAGTATTCAGTTTGGGGCTGTTTTTCAAAATAGCACTAAACGCCTTCCGAGAGTTTCTAATCTCATTTTTCTGATTAAAGAAATAATTTACAATTGACTTATCAATTTCGTATTTGGAGATTTTATAATAGAATACCTGTCCAACAATAAACATATTGTTTAGGGGGTTTTTAACCTTCATTCGATGAAGTAACCTACGATTAGCCTCAAATTTGAATAGAACTCGATTTATCTCTGCAGCAGCATAGTAAAAATTATAAAAAAGGCTGCCATTATCCGGATCTGGCGTGGTAACTCTTGCAATTAAAAAATCCTTGTCCTTTTTTCGATAATTCAAAATCAATGATCGTAATTCTTCCAAGGTGAATGTTTCAACAGCATTCGCATCAATTTCGTCTATTTGAGGAGATAAATCGGACGACGTATTGTTTGGAGCTCCATAAATCTTTATTGTTGATGAAATCTGTGCAGCCTCGGTATAAATATTTTTTTCTGTTTCGTTCATTTGAAGCCAGGGCTAATGTTGGCAATTTTATACACTCATCAAATAAATAAACAAAAACTACATAAACAAATAAATTTATTAAGGACTTTTGTTGATATAGGAATTTTTAACCTTGGTATTTTGAGTATTAGATGATTTTATATGTTTTGAAGAAAAAGGAAAGACAATCCATTTATAAAAAAGAACTTTGAAGATAAAACTCAAAACCATAAAACGAGTGTGAAAATATTATGTTTCGAAATCTGAAACCTCCATCGTGCTTAAATACAATCCAAACAAAATAAATATGTCTATTCCACTTGATTTAAATACATTTACATATAAAATGGTTGTTCTGGGCCATTATTCGGTGGGAAAATCATCAATTGTACTAAATTTCGTTAAAGGGGAATTCAATCCAAATGAAGAAAGTACTATTGGCGCAGCTTTTTTAACAAAAACAATATTTGTTAAAAATAATGCCATAAAGTATGAGATTTGGGATACTGCCGGACAGGAAAGGTATTACTCATTGATACCAATGTATTACAGAGGAGCTCAGGTAGCACTGATTGTGTATGATGTTACATCAACTGATTCGTTTGAAAGTGCAAAGAAATGGGTGGAGGATCTTAAAGTTGAAAAACCTCAAAATTTTCTGAAGGTTTTGGTAGCAAACAAAATGGATTTAATAGAAAATATCGCAATTTCTTCAGAGACAGGTAAGGAATACGCCAACTCTGAAAATTTATTGTTTTTTGAAACAAGTGCTAAGACTGGTGAAAATATTTCATCAATGTTCAACCAGATAGCAGAAATATTGCCAAGGGAAGCCAGCAAAAGTGATACAAAACAGTGCTTGAAGAGAAAACACAATCAGTTTTTCTGCTGTTAAAATAAAGAAGGCATTTAATGAGTTGTCACACAAAGTTGTTTGATACAGATATTACTCCACAATCTGTTAGTGTTTGTGAGATCAGCTCATTTGCTTAGAATAGGTATTATTACTCAATATAATCTATTTTAACTATCAAATTATTTACTTTAAACATTGATTAAATGCGTTCTATATTTATAAATATTTGATCCCGACAGTCATTGCTTTATTTTATGTCTGTTCCGACATCTGTTAAAGATGTGACAGGTTCAGAAGTTTAGAAATTTTATCTTTTAGAACCGTATATGATTCGAGATCCATGTATCTCTGAATAAACTCCCCGTTGTCCAATATTTCTCCTAATAGAGGTTCAATTTTTAAAGAAGTAATAAATGGAATTTCATATTCTTCAGCAAGGAGAACACCTCCATTTTTTCCAAATGGATATAGAATTTTCTCACAACATTCACATTCCAAACCACTCATATTTTCTATCAGTCCCAAAATGGACATTGATTTCTGCTGGCAAAACTCAATACAGTTTTGAGTGTCATTTAATGCAATATTCTGTGGTGTCGTTACTATTAGGACACTTGGAAGTCTGTCAGCCAAGAATGAATGCTCTTCAGATATCCCAGGTGGTGTATCTATCACAACATAATCATAGCCTAAGGCTGAATTAAACATAAGTTCAAGAAAAACCTTCTTCTTTGCACCTCTCCATATAACAGCATCAGACTCTTTTAGAATTGATCCAAAGGAAAGAACATCCAAATTGTTGGCTGCATTCAATGGCCCAAACCCGTCTTTGGATTTTACTATTTTGCCCTTTACATTTAAAGCGTGAGTGATTGTCGGCCCACAAATATCAAAATCCAGAATTAATGTTCTATATCTTTCAGAAAGAATTGTAGCAACTGTAATCGATATTGTAGACTTTCCAACACCACCCTTACCGCTCATCACAGAAATAAATTTGGGAGGCATACTGGGGTGGAAAATATTCTTTAACTTTTTTGGATAAATCAATTTATTAAATTATGCCACAAATTATATTTTAAACACAAACAAGTTACTCGTTCTCAAATATCTTGACGAATTCCAAATCTTCCACTACTCTATCACTGTTAAGATTGACTTTTCTAATAATGTCCACCATAGCACGTGATTCTTTCCACTCAAAATTAGATTTAATTGATGGACTCGAGAGAATCGATTTTACACTGTTATCCACAGATAAATTCTTCTGAAAGGTTGAAAATATT